ATCAACATTCAATTAATGCTTACCAATTAAATAAATTTTCCCCTTGGTTATACCAATGTTCCATGACACGTTTAATTGGAGAAGCACTCCAGATATATGCATCATTCCTTGCATCTATCTGGGTATCGTGCATTTATATTTAATATTTTCATATCTGAATCAACTATCTGTAAAAATATTAGAATTAACAGGATACTTTCTATATAATACTTTTTACACATGCATGCACGCACTGTTAATATATTTGCAAAGTTCAAAATTAGCTAATGAAATATAAAACATGCCTGTTCAACTTTAGCTACCGAGACGCAAGGTCACACAAAAAATCAATACGGGTAAGATTTCGGGGATTATAAAATATTGATATGCATTACTCAGACGCATATCAATTTTACAGTCCCGAATTCTTACTTATATTTTTTTTACAGTCCCGAAATTCTTACCTTAATTTTTTGTGTTGACGGTCTTGCTCCGAAATTGAACTAAAGTTGGACAAGCTTGACATAAAACATAAAACATTTTTATTATACTTACTGCTTTCAAAGAATGATGGTGATTAACATATGCTTCTTCATGAACATGTGATGCAAGAATATTTATGTACGTACAATCAGTAGCTCCAACAGCTCGAGGAAATATCTGTGCAGCTAGTGCAAATTTGTTCTATTGCAGTAGTCTTTTCATGTGGCATCATGGAAAATTTTATCCATTGGCATAATAAATGTATATTTATTAATTATGTATTTATTATGCACTTTACGTATGCAACGGCTAGTAGTTGGCTGACTTACTAATTCGCATTGGTTTCCAGCTGGTCTTTGATAAGAACCATGAGCAAAAAAATCAATTGCAACCAAAACTTGAATTTCTAGAGACCAGTTATACGTTGTTTTTCTAAATCTTGTCTTAAATTATTAACAATTTGCATGATCAAAACTTGGTTTAGTCTGAACTGTACAATAAATTCTTGTTGTTCAAATGGATTTTGCGCATCGCGCAACAATCTTCTCTCTATTCTTCTTTCAAGTTTCCGCATTCTTTCTTATAAAAATAATATATTTCATTCTAAATACTATACTCTTCAGCGATTTTACCTTAAAAGTAAGAGAAAATCTTAATAACATTATTATGAAAAGCATATCTCATTTACATTGCGTATAAAGTTTATATAAAACATAACCTAAATTTATTTGTTTATTTTATATTTTCAAATATTACAACATTTATAATACATTACTTTTAATTAAAATATTTTGCTATAAAATTTTTTGCGTGCTTTTCAACATATTTAATATGTATGATGTTTATTTAAATTACAATATTTATACCATATTTATACACACTTCCGTACCACCACTATCCGGAGCCGGAGTTGATCGCTATATGTCTAGTTATATTGTCGCTATTGTTTATCGAGGAGTCTTGTATCCCTGTGCTAACGATAAAATTCGATACTTTATCGATACTTTTATCGACATCTATCATTATAGTAAATTACAGAATACCATTTTTCGTTATCATGTCGTTAAATCTCTGTAATGATATCTCTAGATAGTGGTGATATTGTCGTTACGAAGTTAGAGAATAGGCATATAAGTATCACTCCATTCTTGTTACTTACCAAATGTTAAACAAGGATAACATAACACTCGGAGAACTCTCAGGTAATCCAACGAACACGCCTCAGCATATTGATTAACCATGCGTTTGATCACGGATCTACAATAGATTTTTAAATCTTAAGCCATAAGGAACGGATGAATCACAATCAATTATTCTCCTAGCATTCGATTGTAATTAGTCAATTTCTTAAGGCTGAAAACAACTTATGTAGATCCGGACTGAGAATTTGTATGGGCAATTTCGACGATGTCACGAAAAATCTGACATGGACTCTCTCAGATTTCTCTCTGATATA